AGCATTAGGGCAACCAGTGCAAACACAAATACAGTTATAATCATATCATTTACAATCAACTTCTGTACACACTCAAACTTTAAATATTGGAGTTTCAGGGGGTTAACCTGGCATGATGTGAGTTGTAGTACAACCACAGCCTTATGCGTTTTGTAAAATAAAAAAAGTGACTACTAATTACCCGGGCAATACCAGTTACCCAAGCTAGTTATAATTAAATCCTTAGAGAAAACATTAATTAATTTCTTCTCCATGCCAATGGCACAATTGTTCTCACAATCCCAACTATAATTTGTATTTCTTCCTACCTGAATTCACTGACATTGTCTGAACAATACTATAATAATATAAGATCATCCTGTGTTATGTTTTATACATGGATATATATATATATATATATATATATATATATATGAGTTATATCTCAGATCTGCGCATTGAGAACCATTTTGCATACTATTTCAGTGAACGCTGTCTTAAATCATGTCAACCATTACCATTTAGAAAATTAATTTTATAAACACATTTATGATAATGCACCTACCGCTAAAGGGAGACAATATACTGCATTATAACTCTTGGAAAGCAAAGGAATCTATACAATCCTTAATGTAAACATTATGTACACAAGGGAATGTAATTCAAATTCAACTTCCTATGTATTTGCATGCAGGTCATAGCCTCTAAAAATAAAGAACAGTACAGGCCTTTATTTGAACAAAACAGAGACAGATCAGTTGACAATCATGTGCTTTCCTTCCATCTTGATGAAGCTGTAACCCTTTCTAGAGCCACACAACATGAAATGCTCCAAAGAATGCTATTTTCGCAAGAGTCTACTGTAACCACACAGCCAGGATTATTACATAACTCTTAACACACATTTTGCAGGTGCTTGTTATCACAGAGTTGTGTTCGCCATGACATTTTCTCTTCTACTTGTTCCATCTGTTCCCTTTCGCAGACCGCAATCTTTATGCAAACCCAAACACACACATGCTTTGGTCAATAAACAGAACAGATCTGCTGACCGAGTGAATTTGAATGCATTACATCAACGCCCTGCAATTTGAAAGACCAGGAAATTCTCCATGGAGAAATGAGAACTGGGCTGAAATCTCATTATTCGTACTCGTGTTAAGAGCAGCCAGCTTTCATTTGTGGTGTGGGAGAATAATATTAATAACTAGCTAAATCCAACCACGTTTCACTGTGGCTCAGTCTGATATGAAATGAATGAGATAGTAAATAAAAGTATTTTTGCAAACATAGATTCACCGAGAAAACACATCATTCAATTCAATACCCTGCCTTGTGTTGCTGTGTCCATGTGGAATGAAAGGAAAGAAAAGGTTTATTATAGAAATTGTAAAGCTATTTTATTTTATTTTACTGCAAAGCTAGGATAGTCACAGCGAAAGCAAGGCATATTGATGACATTTTTGGTCCATTTACAGCATAAACAAAAAGACCTGACGATTTACCGACTCCAGAGCATGCAACGTATAAGTGCCCATGAGAGAAGCAATTGTTTTCTAAATTCAAACTGCAGACTTGCAAAGATTTCCCCTGCGCTTTATTGATAGTCACAGCGAACGCATAGTGTTTTGGAAAATGAAGACGTTAGTACTCAAACGCCATGTCCGTCTGAATGATTGGTATGGTAATAGCAACCAAACACAGTTCAACTTTCATTTCTTATACTGCTGAGGTGAAATGACAGGTGCTCTGTGAATGGTTGGTATTTCTTATAATGCTGAGGTAAAAGGAAAGCTGCAGTGTGATTGGTTATTTCTTCTGCTGAGGTAAAATGAAAGCTGCTCAATGATTGCTGGTTATTTCTTTTACTGCTAAGGTAAATGGTAAGCTGTGCCGCAATTGGTTGTTAGAGCACAGTTTCATTTCTTATACTGCTGAGGTAAAATGAAAGCTAGGCTGTGAATGGTTGCTTTGGGCATCACAGATTCCACTTTGTCTATTCCCGGACTACTAGTTTTGCACTAAATACACACGTGTATTCGAATTCAACTTGTATTGAAATTTCATTTTACTATAAAAAACATGTGCGTATTGGAATGCCACGTTGTGTCGAAATGTCAAGTCAATCGACCAAAAACTTTTTGAGTTTTGTGAGCACAAGCATACGCAGGCTGAGATTTTAAATATAAAGATAATGCTTACCTAGACAAGCACCCACATCATCATTGCCATGGGTTCACTTTAGGCAGTCCCCAAGTTACAAACAAGATAGGTTCTGTAGGTTTGTTCTTAAGCTGAATTTGTATGTAAGTTTCTGAATATTTTTTAAGTGGAACTCCAGCCTACCTATATCAGCTATGGATAGCATTAAAAGGTTAGACATCCCTGTGATGTTTGTTTTGCTGTCTGTGCTCCTGTTCAGATTTCACCTCACTTTCTGTCTCTGTAATAACAATATTTTTAAAAAATGACTTGTTGTGAAAGCAAGGTTTGGAGAGAAAGCTTCAGCTCCAACTCCTTTCCCCCTCTTTCAGGAGCGGATTTCTCTTCCATGGAGTAGACCTCTCTCACATCCTGATGTCTCTCCCCTGTTCTTAACTATGAGTCATTTTTAAGTTGGATGTTTGTAACTGCCTGTAGTGAGTTCAATTATAGTGGTTGTTCACTGAAACCAAGTAACCACCGGAGTCATGCACTCCGGGTGGGGGGGGGGGGCAGGGGAGGTTCCAGACTGAGCACAATCTGAAGACCTCAACGACGGATCAGGTGGATGATAACATGGTACATGTTACAACGGCTGTGAAGGCAGAAGAAGGCTGCAACAGATTGACCATGCCACTGGTTGGGACCCTCATTCTGTGAAGACTGTGTGTTGATCGGCTGTGCACCAACCTCCACACATTAAAAAAACCCACGCACAGGCATCTTCCAAGAACTTGGAAGGCTATCATACTCAGACAACAAGGGATCGCCTAACACCGTAACATAACAACACAGTGGTTGTATTAAAACCCACCACTTCCTGGTACAAAAGACTCCTTTCCAGTGCAGTTTTATTCATCATCGTTGTTGTTGTGTGTCAATAATAATAATAATAATAATAATAATAATAATAATAA